ATTAGGAGGTTTGTGGGATGATAATTCTGTGTGTGCTCCCCGATTGCTCGTTTAGGAGGTAAAAGGGATTACTCCCCCTCCTAGGACATCCAATGTTAAAGGGAGTATACAAAATTACATGCTTATACACAGAAGCATAGGGAGCAATGGGGAGTATTCGTATACTCCCAAGGGAGTACTCACCGAGCAATCGTACGATGCTCCCAAGTTCTACCGGGCGATGAAATATTTAAATTTTTAAATTACATACTTATAGAATAGGACACAAATTTGGACCCAGTAGATAATTTTAGGAACAAAAAGCTCTTCTAGAACTGCTCCTTTAATAACTAAAAATCACACTTATTTTAGGTATTTATATCAAATATGTTTTAGTGTAACTGAAAATGACTATTAAAACTAATTTGTAATGATTAATAATATAAACTTATGCAGTCGCGTAAGTTGTGAAGGTCAAATAGCGAAAGATTCATTGGATAAACCTGAAAATTCATATATCTGGGTTTTTGAACTCGCTGAACCCGAATCCGAATTCCGTTAACCTCCATAGTGTCAGCTTCGAGGTTGAGGGTTAAATTGCGAAAATTGTATTCAATAAAGAAGAAAAAAAATATGGGGATGCCTTGATTCTTTAAGGTCTTCTAAGGCCAAGGCCATCTCAAGGTCAAATTCTAGAGAATTGTATTGAATTTTGGGGTTAATTGAATGAGTTTGCCCTATTTGCCCTTCGAATGACCTCGAACCTGACGTAATGGAGGCTCTAGACCTCGGATTCGCATTCAGCGTGTCGAATAACATTGGGATATAGAGGTTTGGTCCAATATGCAGAAACCTTTTTTTTTTTTTTTTTTTTTTTTTGTAAACCTGTGTAGTCATTATTCTTAAGTGAAAAAATAAAAATCATATAATAATCATTATTTTTTATTAAAAAAAAATAAATAAAAAATCAGGTAACAATAATTTCATTTGTGCGAAAAAAAATTAAAATACTAATTACTATCTTTAATCATTATTGGTTAAACTCGAAAAAAGTTATTGTAAATCACAGTAAAAGATCTGAACACAAATATGTGAGTATAGTTAAAACCGTTTTACAAAAATTACAACTTGTGGATTTCGTGACATTTTCTTGACATTCGGCTATGCTGTAGAAATTTTCAAAGGCAAATCTCGAAATAAGATGGTGTCAAATCTTTCTTCTCGTTTTATTACTATACCTAGTATAAGTACAAAATGATTCTATAGTGTATTTTGTTTTAAACTGATTAAAAATATAACCAGATAGCCGGGCGGGTGTGTATACCCAACTTTTTAAATTTAAATGATCAGTTTCCATGGCGCTATTGATCTTCTAGAAGAGGGCTTAGGTTTTGTAAGTCAATGTTAATTTCAGAGATGCTCAACAAACTATCAGTCTTGTAATGAATTTTCATTCGCCTCATGTTCACACTAAATCGTTCCACATTCATGATGCGCGAACTATATCGGTCAACGAAATTTTTCGCCTGTGAAATGTTTCACCTAATATTCATGATAAGGCTGATGAATCGATTTCGTTTTGTTGATGCGCAAAAATAATTAAACACCTAGCGCTTAAATGCATGCTACAGCTTAGGCGTTAACGATTTAATTTCTTTTCGTTAAAAACCAGAATAGAATTATTTTGATAATTACCTAAACGATAAAAAACTGAACCGTTTCAAAAGAAACGATTTTTTTTTGGTAAACGCTAAAATTAACATTTCAATGCATCCTTGGTTATTTTGATATCATCCCCAAAAGTATTCCATGTATACTTTTTAATGAAAGATTTTTTGGAAGATTAGCATGCAAAATTCTCGTTCACTATTTTCTTTTTTAAAACGGTGTTAATTGATAATTAAGAAATAACAAAATTTGTAAAAAAGAATGTAAAGCTAAGATCCCATTATCTCCGCAATGGGCCGATTTTAGGCGCATTTGATGTACCGATAGCGTTAACAATAGGGCGGTCCAAAATAAGTAAAGTCGGAATTATAATGCTCTCACCCCCTAGGATTGTTCTATATCGAAAAAATATACAAATATTTAGAGGTTTTCCATGTACTTTATATGGAGAAAGACAAATTTTCGTAGAAAGCTCTGATTCGCTCCAAAAGACTTCCAATAACAATACCCAATTGCTTATTTAAAAAAAAAAAGGAAAAAGCATTTGCTAAATTTGTTTGCATACGGCCACAGTGGGATCCTAGCATAAAAAGAGTTTCCAAAAGTCTTATATAATTATTATTAAATTGTATTACCGCCACCACTGTTGCCTTAAACATTTTGTGTTTAAGGGCTGTTTCCAGCCTTCAAGAAACCCGAAAAAAATTCATACAAAATGACTTACAAGAATTGGAAAAGAAATTTTCTTTTATCAAACTTCTTAAGTCAGTTTGCAGCCCTCAAGAAAAAAAATCGTATATTTATTTCTTCAAGAAATTTTATAGCAAAGCAGTGTTTTTTCAAGCAAATGAAACAATGAAAAATATTTCTTGTGATTATTCTTGAGAGCTCGATTCTAAGCTTTAATATATGTATACTGTGGCTATGAATTTTTAAAATATAGACTTACATAGCTTCGTTGTACATTCAATCTTTCTCTATTCTAAACAACAATACAAACGTTGTAAAAATGTGATGAATCTCACTCAAAGTACCCAAATAAAGAAAGATGCTCTACTATTTAGTACAACACTCTTCTCAAGGGGCTGTGCAGATGATACGAAGCTAGTACGCCCTTCCACCGATATATCTTACTTTAAGATCCGACTGTAAATGCTGAAGATATGAAGAAAAATGGCACAAGACGACCGCTACGTTCATCCAAAGAAGAAATTCGAAATTGCCTTCGAATCGAAATACTTTCTTAGCAAATGTTTAATGGTTTTTGGCAACCTTAAATTTACTGACATTAGGGTGGTACGTTACCGTGATAGGAACTGAGATCTGGTGGGTAAGTGCTAGAACGGGGTAATTGAGGTCATTGAACTTCGGATAAAAAAAAGTTGTCTCCTTGAGACATGAATTACGATATATCATATTTAAGATCCGACTGTAAATGCCAAGATATGACGAAAAATGTAACAAAAGCGACCTCTACGTTCGGCCAAAACATTTTTTCTTTCGAATTCGCTTTACAGAAATACCATAGACTCCGGGGTGTAGATACGAGGAACTTTTTTTTCTTGTACGGTCTAATAATATGAAATATAATTACCTCAATCCCTCTATTTAAAAGATTTTAAGTAAATGTGGTTTTCAAAATCCAAAATTAGAATTTATTCATGTATTTATGTATGTATGTATATCTTTAATTACAGGGAAATCGATATGGATGCACAACTCATTGTGCAAATGGACAGCAAAAAAACCCGCCTCCTGAAACCAAAACTGCAATCCATACGCGATGTTGGACGCGATAATCATCATGATTTCACATTCGACTACTCATACTGGTCATTTGATGAGCATGACAGTCACTTTGCAACCCAAGAAGAAGTTTACAACGATCTGGGTACAGATGTCATCGACTGCGCCTACGAAGGTAAGTTACAACATGTTTCTTGCTGAAAACAACATTTCATTTCATTTTTCAAATTTAAATAATCGCATGTGGAATTGCAATGAATAGAGTGAATTCGCACAATGCGCATAGGCTTTTGAAGTTAAAACAACAGTACGCTAAGACAAAGGTGACAAAGATTGGCAACAAGAGTACAATATGTCTAAGCTTGCCATTGCAGTTCAAGTAAAGGAGTATGGAACTCCATGACCATTTGAATTACATAACTAATTTATGTATGTACATATGTATGTACATATATCGTCGTCTAAAATACAAAACCGCGTATCGTCATTCTGCAAAAAACGCAACTGACATTTGCTGTCAAAAATTTGCTCTTGGCTTAATCCTTATCCTTTCGTCTTGAAATATACTAGCTAGAAATGCGATTGCTTTATAAAAAAGAGAGCCATTTTGAAATAAGCGTGTTTTTACTCTCTAGAAAATAAGTTACGCCACCTCACATACGCGGTTTTGCATTATCTTGATACGCGGTTTTGTACTTTAAACGACGATATATATATATATATATATATATATATATATATATTTTTTTTTTTTTTTTTGTTAAATTAACGTGGTTTGTTAATGTATAAAATGTTTAATGAGATATTTTCCTTAATTTATCTTATGTAAATACATACTTACATAGATAAGTATGTATTAGTAAACAAATTATGAAAGTGTGTACATAATTATGGTAATATTTTACCAGCGAATGAATTACAAATCGCTTTTGCGTGCAATGATGATGAGCCGTGCGCCCCGACTTTTTATTTTTATTTTTTTTTACGATCGCAAAAGCCCTTACACTTAACGCTTTGCGATTTTTTGTGTTTTTATTGCAGTAAAAGTTGATGAGCTCATACAACATTCGCATAAGATTTTAGTGATTTAACCAAATGTACATATGTACATGCATATGTCTGTATGTGTGCTAACATTTACAGTGCCACTTTTTCTCGTTTCTGGAGCTTCAATTAGCTAGCATTAATGATGACGTGAATAAAATTCTGGCAGCGAATGTTGTTGGTTTAAGAGTTCGTTAAGCTTTCGCAAAAAGTGAAGTTTAGACACTGTCGGAATTTTTGGCCTTCTGTTGGCAGAGCTAGTTTGCCGGTTAATCGTGAACCCGTTACGCCTACTGGCTAACAAACGTTAATGGAAGAATAAGAATGAAAAGAAAAGCTTGTCTAGCTCTACTGGAATAACCTGAATGTGATCATAGTAAAAAAGCGTGTGTCTAAAACATGGTACTCGCTTCCAGCGTACGGCGTGATTTGCTTTTAGATATGTGCGTAATATGACTGTACATTATTGTGGTCCAAAAAAAGTTTAAAATATCAAGCTCCCACCCCTTAGTATTTGTCTATATAGAAAAAAATAAAACGTGATTTTTTTTTTTTTTTTTAAGAAGTTATTTAGAACTCAAAGCCCATGAAGTTTCTCCATGTATTTTATATGGAGAAAACATTTTGGAAAAAATATAGAATTTTTTGAAATCAATATTTTTCGATCGGAAAACTCTGTTTCTCCTCAGCGAACTTCCAATAGTAATACCCAATTGTTTATTTTAGAATTTTTTTAATAATAACGACTTTTATGGGTATTGTATTTTTTGAAATTTTCGAGGGTCCTGTATAAAATATTTAAGAAAATGGTTGCATAAACAATTGGGTTTTGTTATTGGAGAAACAGAGTTTTCCGCATTCTAGGAAAAGCGGATATCCCCATTTAAAATACATGGAATTGAAAGCAGATTTCTTTTTCAATTTAGAAAAATCCTAGAGGGTAGCTTAACAGTTTAAACTCCTAATTATTTTTTTTTTGATGCAGAATTACATCTACGGGCATTTTTGCATCAAAAAGAAAACTTGAAAAATATGTCGCTTACGTTTTTTGACGGTTATGGCTCGATATATGTATGCAGTATCGGTCATATCTATTGCACGCCGTTTCAAAGTTATACTATTGTTTTTTTGTATATATTTTCAAAAATTTTCAATTAATATACAGGTCATTTCTAACAAAATCCATATAGACCCAAGTTTAAAACTACAAAAAATGGAAACAAATATGCATATAAATTTTAAACTTTTTTCTCAGAAGTCTTAGGTTTTTTTTTGAGCACACCGTTTTATATCCCATTCAATTTAAGTTCGATAATGTGCAAGTTTTAAGTTACTAAAAATTACCGTTGGTCTTTTTTGTTAAAAATCAATATTCTCAGCAACAAGCGCTCCAACAATATAACGACCCCAAACACATATCCCGCCTTGCTACTCCCTATTTCGAAGAAAATGCCATCGAATGGCTTAACTGGATGGCTATATTAAAATTGAATTGAGCATTGGTGGTAAATTTTGGACTCCATGGTGGCGCCCATCTCGGACCGCTATTCCGCTCTCAGTGAACTTTCTATATATCGTCGTTTAAAGTGCAAAACCGCGTATCAAGAAAACGCAAAACCGCGTATCAGCAAAATGCAAAACCGCGTATGTGAGATTGCATAAATTATTTTTCTAGAGAGTAAAAACACTCATATTTCAAAATGGTTATCTTTTTTATAAAGCAATCGCATTCCTGGCTAGTATATTTCAGGACGAATGGATAAGAATTGAGCCAAGAGCTTGTGTGAGCAAATCCAATTTTTGGCAGCCAATGTCAGTTACGCGGTTTTGCAGAACGACGATATGCGGTTTTGTACTTTAAACGACGATATGCATATACATACTTCATCTGTGAGGGTAAGTTAATTATGCCCGGCTTAGGTTCACTACTTTGATGAATCGGCTCAAACATTAAATAAGATTTAATAGCAATACATTTCAGGCGTTAATTCTCTTATATTTTTTTGTCTGTTAATTAAGATACATTTTGCTTGGTACTGTAAGTATAATTTTGAATTTGGTTGCAAATGATATGTCCAACGTATGCAAGTAAATTGCAAAAGTACACACCACAATATTTGGTTACGGGAAAAAGTAGATAAGTAGTGCGTGTTGGCTGCAGTGCGTTGCTTTAAGCATCGCAATGTTAGCGCACTTTCGCTGGCCCAATGCAAGCTAATCTTACGAATAGTCTGAACCCACATGCATATAAGTATACAGCAGCGGTCAAAATAATAGCAGTAAAATTCAAAATTATATTGCTTGCAACTCCTGTTTATTTATTTATTTTTAATAATTGTCATTAAGTATATAGTTCGATCTATAACAGAAACCACAGAAATAAAAATTTAAAATTTGCACAAAGTTAACAAAAATGAATCAAACTTCAAACAAATTTTCAATCTTTTTATTCAGAATGTTTAGAAAATTTATCGAGTATTTAGTTTTGTAGTCTATTAAATTTTAATATAATAATAAATTGAGTTTGAGTGACTTAAAACTTGCACTTTATTAAATATACTAAAACTGCATACTCGAAAAAATATCTAAACATTCTGAATAAAAAGTTTGAAATTTTTATGAACATTTTTTAAGTTTGATTAATTTTTGTAAACATATAGCGTGTGTGAATCGATAACAAAGTTCTATGGGGAAAGCTGTTGAATAATATTTTTACTAATGGTGAGACAGTTGTGCCAATCTGCTGTGCGCATTGAAATATTTTTTGACAGCAGTAAATTTTTAATAACCGCAGATTTATGTGGAATAAAATATTACAAATTGGCATTAATATTTTAAGAAAACATCTATCATCGTTGATTGAAATTCATCAATTTAAGGACTTATTTAACAAAAAATTACGTGCATCAACAATCTTCGCGATTGTCAAAATTTTCTATGCATTTGTCAAAAATTTCACTAGCCTCATGAGCTACTGAAATTTTATTCACCTCATAGTTGTCAAAAATTTAAACGTCGCGAACTTTGTTACCGATCTTAGATCGATTTTCGTTTTAAATGAAATTTATTTAAAGTAAATAAATAAACAGGAATTGCAAACAATATAATTTTGAATTTTGCTGCTATTATTTTGACCGCTGCTGTATGTACTTCTTTTTGTTTTTTATGTATGTCTATAGCTTAAAATAAAATACGCAGGCTATATTTGAGGGTGGAGTGTTCCGCTATCGTGGTTGCATTTTACATACATATAATGTATGTATAAACGTTGCTATTATTTGTTTAATGAACTTTGTGCAAGGCATTGCATTTATAAAAAATACATTTTTTTTTTAAGTTGTACTTAAAACAAATTCCATTCTCTTTTTGCAGGTTACAATGCATGCGTTTTTGCATACGGTCAAACGGGTTCGGGCAAAACCTTTACTATGATGGGTGCACCCGATAATCCAGGTTTGATTCCACGCATATGTCAAGAGTTGTTTGCGCGCATGCGTGTCGGCCAGGAATCAGGTACAGGCTATAAGACACACGCCAGTTATTTGGAAATTTATAATGAACGCGTGAAAGATCTATTGGGTCCGCATAGCGCTGGACATGGCTTGCGTGTACGTGAGCACCGCACTTTAGGACCATATGTCGAGAATCTCTCCCAACATGCGGTTTCGAATTTCGAGGAAATTCAGGTAAGGATTCGTTTTATTGTGTACATATTTATTATTTGATGGTAAAAAATTATGATCCAAAGCTTCGTGAGTTAAAAAAAAATTCTACTACCACTTGGTAGTACCCAGGTTGAATGCCCGGTCTGCGAAACTCTCAAATGATAGAAATCGTCTTTCTTAAGAAATAATACAATCAAAAAGTGTATGTAAAACTATAACTGAAAAGTGTTTACTTTTCAAGCAGAATCTGTGCAAATATACGCACAAGATGTTCAAGATTTGTTTTTGAAATGTTTAAAATTACAAACATTTTGAAAGTAGAAATATATTTTTTACAAATAATAAATATGAAGTGCTCATATTTATTCAATTTTAAAAACTTTCTGTGTAGTTTTTCTCTAAGTGAAAAATTTTGTATGTAAAAGTAAACAGACAGTGTTTAATTTTGCACACATTAGGAGAGGAAACTGGTTACCTCTAGTTATATGCGTAAATTTAAACAAACATTTTTTAGGTGAAATTTTAAACATTTTATGTGTAAGCTGTGAAAATGTGAAGAATAAATGTTAAGAACTCAAAAAACAAATTTGAACCATAATGCCAGGGCCACAACCGTAACCGCAGGTATCTATTTAATTTTAGTTCTGCTACGTTAGGGCTATGGCGTTATGGTTATTGCACCTCTAATTTGGCCTTAACAGAGGAACGTAGAATATTTTGTTATAATTTCTATCTAGTCTGTTTTCTTCGTTATAAAGATAAATAGTCGCATTTTTTAATTTTGTAGGAATGCATTGCTCGTGGCAATATTCAACGCACCACTGCGAGTACAAATATGAATGATACCAGCAGTCGGAGTCATGCTATTTTTACCATAACCTTTGTACAAGCCGTCTTCATGAATGATATGCCAAGCGAAACTGTCTCAAAAATCCACTTGGTAGATTTGGCAGGAAGGTAAGTGAACATGAATCTATGTAAGCTGAATTGTAAATGTATAATCGTAAACATACGTACATATATGCTACAGTGAGCGAGCGAATGCAACTGGCGCCACTGGACAGCGCCTCAAGGAAGGTGCACATATAAATAAATCCCTAGTGACATTGGGTAGCGTGATCTCAGCATTAGCCGAACAAACGAACACCAACTTTGCCACACTAGCTAGCAGTCCAACTGGCACAACCAAAAGAATACTATACATTCCATACCGTGATTCTATACTCACATGGCTGTTAAAGGACAGTTTAGGTGGCAACAGTAAGACAATCATGATTGCCGCACTCTCACCGGCGGATTGTAACTACAGTGAAACACTTAGCACTTTGCGCTACGCAAATCGTGCCAAGAATATAATAAACAAACCAACAATTAACGAGGATACCAATGTTAAATTAATACGTGAATTGCGAGAAGAAATCAATAAACTAAAGTCCATGCTAAATGGTGATATTGTAAGTACGAGTAAATGTAAATGTTCATAAGAGTTACTTCATTTTTACTTTTATTATCCGCAATAGAACACATTGCAGCCTTCGTTAAAAGTTTTAGAAGATCTTCAAAAGAAGGAAGCTCAAGAGAAAGTTTTAACCGAAGAGTGGACTGAAAAATGGAAAGAAGCACAATCCATTCTACAGGAACAAAAGAGTTTGGGTCTGCGAAAGTCTGGTCTAGGTGTCGTTTTAGATTCGGAAATGCCTCATCTCATTGGTATTCATAACGATGTCACCACGGGCGTTACATTATACAGCTTGAAGGTAAAAAAGAGAATGCAATTTCGTGCAGAAAGAATATAATACAATAAATACTCAGTCTGGAAAATGAGAAAAAGATCTTTCAATGCTTTAAGCCTTCCGCACTCGAGTCTATGTTCCTTTTTGCATAAAATAGGCAGAGTTTCAAATTCCTCTTGATTCAACTTGCCTTAAACGGGAGAATATCTTATTGAAAAAGCTCTGCATTTATTTAGAATCGCCCTTCATTTTGCCGATTGGGGAAGATAAACTTTTCACTACAAATTCCCCCCTCGAGAATTTAAATAATTTTTCGATCTACTTACAGGAGGGTGAAACACTTATCGGCACTGAGAATTCAGATACACCTCAAGACATCGAACTTGTTGGTGATGGCATACGGCCACAACATTGTAGAATTGTTTTACAAGAGGGCATTGTAACATTACATCCACATCCTGGTGCTCAATGTTGGCTCAATGCGCATCTTATCGACGAGCCAACACATATATCTCAAGGCGACATTATTTTGCTGGGACGTACGAATATCTTTCGTTTCAACAATCCTGCAGAAGCAGCCAAATTGCGCAAAGATCTCAGTCGCTCCCAATTGGATATGTCTCGTTTATCATTGATTACGTCATCTCGTGAAAATTTGCTAACATCGAGTTTTTATTCGGAAGAAGATTCCATGAGTGGTAGTATGACTGCATCACCATTGAAACGACCCGAACGTCAATACTATCCAACAAAACCCATGTCGCGAGATGATCCAGAATTGCAAGACGAAAATCGTAAAATACTTGAGACTATTGAAAATGCCTTAAAACAACTGAATATTGTTAGTATAAGTTGTGCTTAATTTTAGAAAATATCGGTTGTTGCTATTGTATCGTTATAACGACTTCAATGTTTTTTGGTTATATTAGGAGCGCGTACAAATGCATGACCAGTACAAAGCGAAGGTGCGAAAATTGACGGATGAGCTCAAACGCTTGGAAATTGAAGAAATGGACAAATTGGACATATTGCGCTGTCAGGAACAAGAGCTTCTTGCCAGAAGGGATATGCTACTCTGGGAGAAAAACAATGAAAAAGTGCAGGTAAGAAGTTATTGTAGGTAATTAGTCTATTCTCTTGTTTAGGTAGAATCAGCGTATGTTAAAAGTCATCAATAGGCGGCTGTAAAATATTCATTTTTCACCCATCAAGAATGTCCAGAAAACCGCAGTTCTCAAATCACAAATTTATGTGCACATATTTACAAACTAAGCTATTGTAGTATCAAAAATCACCCATATGGGGATACATATTACTAGGCTCTCTTAATTCAAATTGAATTTGATTTTTCAAACAGGTGGCACCCTACTATAGTTCAGTTAAGAAACAAAACGTTTCAAAACCATTTCGATTAATACCCATTTTATAATACGTGATTTATTTTTTAAATAATTTGAATATAAATTTTAAAGAGTGGCCGCTCTTTTCAGAAAAGTAAGACTTTACAGCACATCTGCAGTCCAAGCCATTGACACCACATTTTGACAAATCGAACGAACGAGGCGGATATGTTGGCATTGATTATTAAATAATTTTAATTAATTGTTGAACTGAGCTGTCGGCCGCTGTGGTGTAGTGGTAAGCAGTGCGCGCTGCCACTCATCAGCACCTGTGTTCGAACCCTGGTCAAAGCAACATCGCAAAAAAAAATATAGAAAAAAGGTTTTTTCTTAACAGCGGTCGTCCCTCGGCAGGCAATGGCAAACCTCCGAGTGCATTTCTGCCATGAAAAACAGCTTCTCATAAAAATACAATCGCCGTTCGGAGTCGGCGTAAAACTGTAGGTCCCTCCGCTTTGTGTGACAACATCAAGGCGCACGCCACAAATCGGAGGAGAAGCTCGGCCAAACACTAACATATGTATGTGTGGGAGCAACTCTTTTCCAAAAAATAAAACCAGTTTGCACATCTACAGAACAAGCGCATTTATTTGACACCCCATTTTTGAAAATCGAGCGAACAGTGTTTATCCTGGACAAAAAATGCCTTCGCGTATTATATATGTATACAGATAGGTCAACATTTTTAAGTCCGCGAAATCATGTAAAAATGTTTTTTTTTAACCTAAAAAGTTCATTTATTGTTCCGTAGGATCTGGGTTCGATTCCTAGTCCGACCAACATCTAAATTAAAAAATTTGTTTTGTTTTTCAAGGCAATGGCAAAACTCGTGTGTATTTCCCTCCATTTGTGTTATAACATGAAGTCGCATACCACAAATTGAATGAGAGGCTTGGCCAAACACATAGCAAAGGTGTAAGCGCCAAAATATTATTATTATTTGCCCTAAAATTCATAGCTAAACTATCATCTTTAAGACTTATATCCGCTGTGTTAGAAGCAGGCTCTGTAATTTCAAATTTTTCTTTTATTTAACAAGTTATTTTTAACTTAATTAACATTGCATAGTTTTGTTATTTAAATCTGTATTTTTAGTTATTTTTTAGACTTTTGTGATATGAATGCCTCAATAGAGTTAAAATAAATTTACATTATTAGATCACATCTCTAAACTTTTTGTTGATGAGGTTAATCGATTTGGCTACGGAAACATTCATAGTTTATTTATAATTTAACTTATTCATAATATTTTATTTCTTATTTTATTTATTTCGTATCTTTTTCGTTTTAGATTGATATCGTCTGTAGACAAATTTCAGCATTTCAAACTCAGCTTGATTCAAAGAAACGAGATTTTTCTGAATACGTTGCCAAAGAATTGCAAGAAATGCAAGATTGTGGCAAATTAGATGAGGTTTGTGTTGTAAATAGTTACAAAAAACGTTGAGCAGTAGTGATAAACACTTTGCATTAGTTTGTTGTACAGACTTTTAACAAACACTTGCTACTTACATAGTACAAATGTACTTACAAATATTATTTATTCGTCATAATTAAATAAACAAATTTTACATTTTTAGATCGGTATTAAGATTGAAGAGTTCACTCCCTTATCAGATCAGCTATTGCTACAAGTCGCAGATTCTTTGGACTTATTTGCGTCACAATTTATAAAGGACACAGTAAAAAGAAATGTAAATGAAGATAAAATTTGTTTGATTAATTTCGGATTTTGTGTTTTCATTAATATTAATTTTCGATTTGCATAGAATGACGAAATTCGAAAACTCGACGAAAAAATCATGGAAAAAGAATGCATTTTAAATGCCAGTACAAAGCGAATTGCTCAAGTAGATGAACAAATTTTGCAAATACAACAACAATTGGAGAAACTACAGGAAGAACGTCAAGAAAGTGAAGCAAGCTCAGAGTTTTTACGACAAAAAAAGCTCGGGTATAGAAAAAATGCATTTATTAAGCCAAAAGGCCAAAAATTTTACTAAATTTCTTTTTCAACAGATTGAATTTAAACTTAGCAAAAACGACCTCCACCAACACAGATGACTCAACCTACCACACTGCGCAATCAAATATTTCACTGAGCTCACCTACCATTGTTGACGATCAGATTTCTCCACTTAGCACACTCTCAGCGACGTCAGCAGACTTAGATGACACTAGTACCACAGAAAGAGGTGTTTCTTCGAGCATTTCACTTAAAAGCAGTCCATCTGAGAGTTGTGAAGTGGCTAACAACAATTTGATACCGACCCCAGCAGCTGCATCAAAAGCTATAATGAGCGATAGCGGCGTATATTTGGATCCGGTTAGAACAACACAACAGGTTGCTAATTGTAATGGATTATCTACTAGTAAAGGCAAAGACAATAACAATAGACTTGCTGAAGGATTGGAAAATACTGCAATTGGCTCAGCTAGTGGGAATTCCGGTTCAAATGGCACAGGAATGCGGACATCCGACGAGGATAGCGCCTCATGCTCCTCATGTGAAACGGGGCGTAAAACGGATGTGCCGCGCCCATATTGTTCCATGCATGCACTTAGGCGTAACATTGCCAATCAGAAGGCATTAATTATGAAAAATCTCGAAATGAATGTGAGCAAGGCGCAGCTAGATGAGCAGATTGTAGAGCTGCAGGAGCTGCAACGTAGGCTGATTGCCATGGAGAAGGAATTGCTCGATTCGCCAGATGATTGTATTGCTGAGAGAGATGAGTGCAGTACATACTATCGAGGTGAAAATGACATAAATTACGAGTTAAGTCCAAATGACTGTATGGATGAGTCAGCTTACATGCCCAGCATGACACGCTCTTGCCCCTCAATGAGGGATTTTCGTAAGAAAAATTTTGCCATATATTTTAAAGCTGTACGAGGATGTTTGAAATAATCAACCTCATTTTCTTTTACATTTTAAACAGCCGAATCAGAGCATTTCATTACAATACCAAGCTTTGTGATACGTGGTGCCGGAAAACAAACGCACTACGAATACGAAGTGCGCATTACACTTCCCGATGGCAAGCTTAACATCTTACGACGCTACAGTCGTTTTAGGGAATTGCATTTGAGCATGAAACATTGTTATGGAGCGAAAGTAAGTACAAAATCGTTTGAATTATTTTGCATACTGAAGAGCAACAAAAACTTGTTTAACTATTTATCTATGCAGATCAGCGCCCTGCCTTTTCCACGGCGAGAGATTTTCTCCTCCAACAGCGAATCGGTGGCTAAGCATCGCAGACGACTGCTTGAACTTTATTTGCGGCGCTTGTTTGTTGTTTGCACGAAAATACCACAGTGCCCCATTTATGAGGGACCCGGCGGGCCGGGCCTCACTCGTGCCACACTCTCTCAGCTCTCGCCTTTTTTCAAGAAAGGTTTGTTCGAGAACGGCAAGCACGGGACGGGATAATAGTTACTCTACTGCTAAATTACATCCTGCCTATAGTATGCCTTTTAGTTTATTTTTACTATTTGTTAAGTTATGTATACTGTGCAAGGTGATGTTGTTGCACAGTATAATTTTTGATCTATTAACATAACACAACGTTCCTAGATTTCTTACGAATATTATATTTTGCTTTATGAAACTTCGGTGGAGGGCCACTCTTAATGTAAAATGAGTGAGTTGAAAATTGTAGTAAAACTGCACGTTGCGAAAAAAGCAAAAAAAAACTTCGTATTTACGTTTAATTATATATTGTATTATATTTAAGTTTTAATAGATTTGTTTGATTAAATTTTGAATAGTTATGTTATAGGCGGCATACACGGTGCGTCTGACTCGCGAGTCATTTGTCTACGTGTTGACTCGCCTTCGACTACACGCAGCTGAATCATTCAGAGCCATCACGGGAGTCATGTTGGTGTAACTAACACATATTTATTTTCACAAACACATCCAAACCGAACCACGAGTCAGACACACTGTGTATGCCGCCTATTAATTAAAGAAAAAACGAACGGAGCAATAAAGAGGGAACATTTAATAAATTTAAAATGCCTTATGGCTAAGTTTAAACTGTGGCTCAATATAAGAATATGCCTTATAAATTAAATACATACATCATAAGGATAACTGCACAGATTTTCTGTTTCACTTTTACTTTAAGGCATCATTCAAACCTACCGGTTTTTATCAAACCGAATTAAAAAATATTCAAATCGATTTTTGCGTACGCCTTTACAAAATTGTGGAAATTACTAGCTCTGTTGATGTTTAGTGTGACCAGGTGGTGAAAAAAAAATTCTAAAATATAATGCAACTCATAAGTTCGTTTGAAGTTCTTAAATACTGTCAGCATTCATTGGACTTCTTATAAATATAGACGTGAATTAGATATTAAACAAATTAATAGCATCTTTTTTTACTAGGTTCGTTATACTAAAGACTCAATTAGCCTCAGCATACTCATAACAAACGTTTCAGTTCCTGAACAGTCTTTTTAGCTAATCAAAAACAGTCAGGCATATTCAGACATTTGGCATTAAATAAGTGTGGGCTTGTCCGAGGCATGTAACGAAAGAGGCAATACTACAGCACTAATCAAAATTTGCAAAACCTTTGCAACGGCTCAATTCATGAAATGTTGCTAGAAATCTACACCGAACGTGATATTTTAATGATTCGCGCAACACTGCGATTGTAATTGCAACTCGAACAAGCCTTATATATATTATACATAACTGATGTTTACTTAATAGCTTTCATGTGAAATAATTATTCGCTTCACTACTTCGCAGACGAAATAAATTTTCAATACCAAGTATTGAATTTTCTATTGAGGATTTCAAGTCCTAGAAAGTTTTGATGCTCCTAAATCCGCAATGCCGCTCGGCAGGCAATGGCACACCTCCGAATGTATTTCTGCCATGAAAACAGCTTCTCATAAAAATACAATAGCCGTTCGGAGTCGACGTACAACACAAAAGGCCCTAACGCTCTTTATTTCAAAATTTACCTTTTCACAAATGTCGATAGGCAACTCATTAAAAACCTCATAGATTTTAAAGACAACTACTAGTTACAATATTTAATAAAAAATAGTGGCCTGTAGAAATTCATAACTAAAGAAATTTGGGTCAAAGAAACAAAAATGTTAAATATGCCCTCTCTACATACCTACATATATGAAGTTTAATTTAAAATTGTTGTAATGCAGCCAATTTGTTCAGTTTTTATAGTAAAAATTAATTAATTACTGCGGCCAAATTCATTTCTTCCCCATTTTCCAACTAAACCAGTGAATAAAATGCTAAAAACGAATTTTTTAGCTAAATTAAATAAAAAAGTTCTAACCTGGTCATTGGAAGTTTCATCGTCGACCTTTGTTGACTTTGTCGTGAGATGGATTGATAGCATCAAAAAAATGCTGAAATGGAATAAAACAATAATCTGTACGTACATTTATGTACATTTGATACAGCAAATACGAACAAACTGTGATTAATCTCTCGATATTAACGCTAAATTGAAATTTTGTAAATTGAAGTCAAATTGTGCATGACGATATACTTTATATGTTGTAATGTTAAAATGCAAAAATCAGTTTAAGGTACTAAAAATTAGTTAAAAGTATAATTCAACTTTAAACTTTTTTATATGTAATTTTTATAAGTAATATTAAAATATTAAATAGAAAAAATATATATAAAAGAAATGTAAAGAAATACTAAAAGATAAGGCAGCAAGTATTTAGCAGTAGAGTAATATATCAGACGATTATTATGTAATAAGTATAATAGATAAAACGATTTAAATAGAAATTTAGATATGGTACTAGTAAAGTACTTAGGACACATGTATGGGGCTGTTCAAGATCTTGTGCATATGATATTGCATTTACATGCAAACGGTAGCCACGGTAGCAATCATAAAATTTACAAATGCAAATCCAAGACCATTTGCACAATTCATTCTGAACAGGCCTTATGTATTATTGACGAAATCATGTAAAATAATGCCAAGTTGTAAGTGTGTTGGCACACAATTGAAAACAGAAGTATTTAAGTTTCAAAATTTGCCCATTTATTTGCGTACATACTTATAAAATTATCAAAATGGTGGTATTGAGTTTAGGGACGTTCTACGTAAAAACTGTTAAAAAGCTTTCAGAAATACAAAGAGCTTTCATAAATTTGACCACAAGACAATTAGGAAAGATGATTCTCATACGTATGTAAATAGTAAATAAAATGGCGCAATAAATCAATTTTACACATTAGCAGGCCGTACTCGGCGAAAGCTTTCAAAGATATTATTGCAATCTACTTAGAAGTACAATTGAAAGAAACTTCCATCTATCTACCAGTTCAAACTTGTTACATGTCATTAGAAATAAAATTTTGTTGGTAAAGTTGTGAGTTCGTTTTTGTATAAAATAACGATTTCATTCTGCAACTTATTAATTCTATTTACATAAAACTTAGTTAAAATATATACTGGAAATAAAGAAACATACAATTATGTATTTCTACTTAAATGGTTATACCTTTTTGTATGATTTATTTATATATGGGTGTTTCCATCGAAAGGTCTACCGCGAAAAAAAATTAAAATCATATATCTAACGTATTTATGGGCCAATTAGTCCGCTTTTTTTTTTAAATATACAACGGTTATGTAACCGGAAAAATGTTTGCGTAAAATGCTTTTGCTATATAAGGTGGCGCCAAGGTCGAGATATTTCGAAAAACCGTAATTGTGGTCCGATTTGTTTCGAATTTGTAGTTGAAACATAATAAATCATAGATTTCCAAAAAATTAACCCTGAATTGGCACTGAGGATAAGATAACGTATATCTACTAGATGCCATGTAGTCCGCCCCAATTGAGCTATGCCCAAAGGCTCTGAAATTGAATTCCCCTATGGCCATCAATCTTCCTGCGGATTTAGAAGCACGGTTATCCGCGAATACGTCAATGGGCAGAAAGCTGAGGATAATTTCAAAAGCAGCCATTGGAGTTTACCTCAACGCTCTCGTGATGCACAGTGCTGCGAGGCGCTGAACCCTCTCCATTGGCCTGCCTAATACTGTGTAGCACCAATGCATCAGACCTAGTGACAGACCCAAGTGATTCCCAACATTATTTTACATGCATAAAGGGTGTTACTGGCCTTCTTTCCCTTCTCATCAACATTGCGCTTCCACAGCAGCTTACTGTCGAACACAACTCCCAAATACTTTGTGTGGTCTTTAATTGACGGCTCGATACTACCTGGCCTCGGGGGGTCTCCACACTGGGACCATATATCTTCTTTCATTACATTACTGATAGTGTTACTACTACGACTATGTCGTCTACATACGGCACAAGCTTGGACGCTTTCCCCTGAATTCCTTTAAAAATTTGTTGACCGTTAGTAGCCATAATAGTGGTGAGAGTACACTACCTTGCGGTGTGCCTCTGCATGCCCGTCTGGTTACCCTTGCGTCGTTCCGCTCTGCTCTTATTTCCCTGTGGCCTAAAAAGCTTTTAATCGAAAGCGAAATAGCAGGTTCTACGCATATTGATTCGATGCTACTCATAATAGCTTCACTTGTGACATTATTGAATGCTTTGGTAATTTCCAGAAATACCCTTAGGGCATATTCTTTGTATTTGTCTGATGATAGGAGATACTAACTTTTGTCCACGTTCACCACCCGACTGTCACTTCAACAACACTCCCCAAAAGTTAATTGGGGAATTTTTATGCGATTACAACAACAACATGTGCATGGCATGTATCTTTCAAAAACGAACCAAATCGGATCATAGCTATGAGTTTTTCAAATCTTTTTATAGATAATAATACAGATCATCATAGTTTAGTGTTTAACTGGTTATATTACACCGTAAATGATAAAGAACCGTTAAATACTGACAACGCTAGTACTTAAACCAAATTTACGTAAAAGTTGCGTTCCAGATGCTTCACAATTTGCAGGTTTTACAGGATTTGCAGGAAAAGCTGTTTTCTCTTAGTGAATTTCATACAGAATACAGCTTGTAGCCAGAGGCAGTAAGACTCATTTAAATCCACTCATCATGTTGGAGCAGCTCCGGGTAATGGACCATTGAATGTGGCTGAAGTTATGACCACCATAACCAACGGAGTCTCCAAGCAAACGCATGTCCTGAATTTATACGGTAGCAATTCATAGCAATTACTATTGTATGTGTGTATTATTCATATTTGTGACATTCTATACTTTGATCAAATGGATATTAAGTATTTCTGAGGAACTCCGGGTAATGGTCGCTCAAACTTGGGGGTGCTTAATGAGCTGTCTTGGCAGATGGGCTGGCAGGAATTTGAGTCTATATAACTATACAAAACTAGTTTTTTTTTTTTTAATAAAAACTTAAATATATTCGGAATTTTAGAATTTTACTTGATATATTCTCAAAATAACGCGAAATTCACGTTTTTTTCAAAAAAATATAATCTTTCAATGGATATTTTTTTAATTTAAAATTTACATTTAAGAAAACTCCATTCAGTACAATAACTACGATTTGAGTTTTTCAGTTTATAGAAACACAAGCGTTAATTATGTTCTTAACTATTGATATTATTCTTAATTAGGCATTGATATTGCACTTCACACGGTGAGCAGGAAGCAAAAATAGGTTGCATAAAAATGTCGACAAAAACTGAAAGCAGGGTTGTATTTGTTGATATCTTAAGGTTAAGAATCCGTTTGAATTGAAATCCTAGCTGCTCCTGTTTTAAAGATATCCACATTTTATATACTTCTGATAGGATATATTTGCAAAAGACGAAGGCGTACTTCTCGATAATTAGAGCATATTTATTCGAAAAGAAATCTTATACAAATCTGTTTCCCTTTTTTAACTCACTAAAACTGATCAAATCAATGTGAAACATTTTCATTTTTTCCTACCGAAAGAATAATTGATCGAGATTTATTGGGCGCTTCCGGTATACAACTTAGATAAAACACCACAATTACCCTCTTCTGTAGCTGTAGATTTATTTTGGTATTTATGTACTCTTCTGTCAGGAAATAATGTCTATTACACATCCAGAACACAAATGCGATCATGAAGAAAATCGCATGAAAGTATGCGCTTTGTGTGGGAATAAAAAATATTTTTCAAAATAAACCTTCCCAGTATTTTCTGTTAACTGGAAAAAATATTAAAGTAATACAGGATCATATTAATGATCAGTTCGATATTTCTAATAAAAAGTTCCCAAAAAGTATATGTAGCACATGTCGACTAACTGTTAATGAATATGGAAAACAAATTTTCAAAAGACCTTGTCCAGCTATGCCTAATTACGAAGATCTTAATTTGGCAAAAGAAACAAGAACTATGATTTGCAACTGTTACGTTTGCCTAACAGCGCGACTTACTAGACATTCGAAAAAAATTAAAGGTAGAGGTCATGTAAGAGTAAGAACGTTTCATATTACTCCACTGGTGGAAGTATTTCATCGAAACGTAAACTCACTAGTGTCTACAATTGTATTATGCATAGTTCCTCGGATTAAAGAGACCCATGAAAATTTAAAAACCTTATTTAAATTAACAAAACTCAATGAGATACCTTTCAAATTTATTTCAGATTTAAAACTTGTTCTACTCGCTAATGGGCAGCAGACGGCAACTGCTACTTATCCTTGCCCTTATTGTTTTATTACATTAACTGGATTGAAAAGTTTAGACAAAATGATTGATGATAATGATCTGAATAATGATGAAGAAAATTTTAATTTAAAAAAATACAAACACCTAAGAGAGGACTACTTCAAATTTAAAAGCTTGATGGGCAATGACAAAAACAAAGCTAAAGAATGTCATAGCACAGTTCATCATCCTCTTTTTGTTGATGAAGATAATGATGAAGATGATGACATATACGTGCTTCAGAAGTGTATTCCTCCTGAACTGCATCTCTTACAAGGGTTTGTTAATCATCTCTTTTGGGATGGTATAGTTAAAATCGATGGTATCGGAAAGGAAAAGGCTCTGCTGTGGCCGAATAAATTAGGTATATGTCATAAAAGCTACCAAGGAGATATTTTTGAAGGGAATCATTGTCGGAAACTTCTCAAAGAAGCGGACAAATTGCAGGATCCTGAAATTTATGAGTTTGTAGGGCCATTACGATTACAACCTTATATTGCCTCGTTCAAAGCTATGAACAAAATCGTGAATACATGCTTTTCCGCAAAACAAGCGGATCTTAGTAATTTTGATAAAAATCTTAACGAACTCCGCACAGCTTTGAAAAGTACTGGAATTTCTCAAACTGTCAAAGTCCATATTATCCTTGAACATTTAAAGCAATCTATTTCATTCCTGAATAACGATGGTTTAGGATTATGGTCCGAGCAGGCCGGGGAGTCAGTTCATAGGGAATTCATTAAATTCTGGGATAGATTCAAAATAAATATGATTGATGAACCAACTTTTGTGAGTCGCCTGAAGAAAACTGTAATGACATTTTCATTCCAGCATATATAAAAACTTAATTAAATAATAAAATATTTAAATACTTAAATGTGTGACTAAATTATATGGTAAGCCAACAAAAAAATAAAAGAAAACAAAAAAAATATAAAAAAATAAAGCAAAAAAAAATATATAAAAAAATCAAACCAAAAAAAACAAAGAGGTGCAAAGTAAGTTGCCTCCACGTGGTGCGCCTTGGAAACGATTAAAACCGGCTAAAAACTTACATAAACTTATATTTTCACAAAATATATATACACACATTTACTCACACATACATTGTTGAATATTTAATGCACAAGGATGTTTTTCTCTTTCGCAAAAGTCGGTCCTACCATAACTATGTAAAATGTGGATATCTTTAAAACAGGAGCAGCTAGGATTTCAATTCAAACGGATTCTTAACCTTAAGATATCAACAAATACAACCCTGCTTTCAGTTTTTGTCGACATTTTTATGCAACCTATTTTTGCTTCCTGCTCACCGTGTTCACCTACATTTTGTTCATAAATAACACAATAACATATTTTTTATCCTCGAAAAGGACTTTTTCTAATCATGAGGCAAAACTCCCCACAGTTAGTGTTGCCTTGCGCGCAAAACGAAAACGCTGCACACAACCCAAAAGTACTCCTCGGGGACCAATTGGTGAAAAACTTCGAAAAGGTTTATTACTGTATATACTGTGATTCATATATATGTATACATTTGCATAAGGTTATATTTTATCTTTTTTCTATCTAGATTTTTCCATGCACAACAGCGACTGTGGAGTGATCGTTTAAAATACTTCGTAGAGTAAAAACCTGGCTCAGAAGCTCAACAGGAGAAGAAAAGAAAACTCGTTACCGAAAACTCGAGACGTTTGTTATTAGCGTAAAAATTATTAAATAAAAAATATATAAAAAAATTTCGCAAATATATTTCGCCTCAAAGTAGACAGCAAGTCAACTTTTGCATGCGATCATCGCCTGTCAAAAATCGCCTCATGCAAAGGCAGCTTAACGAACACTTTTTTCGAAACTAAGTTCTTCACAGATTTTAATAGGATATACATATTAAAATACACTTTCACTCAAAATTTTAAAGTGTTAGTAACAAAAACAACGGAAAATTTAAAACTTGTTGGTTAAGGTAAGGAGATTCTGATTGGCTTGTCTAATATAAACGCGAGGTTATAGAGTTTTACCGTTAAATAGTAATACAATTTACGGCGAAATTGAAAATTCCGCATTATTTTCATACATTGGTCTGCAAGGATTCAAAGAGATTAATCTAAAAGTGTAATGATTGATTAATTAACACTTCACAAAGGAATCGATACATTACAACTGATATGACATACATACATGCTAGGAATGTTAATCCCGGGATTCCGGCCTTTTCTAGGTCCTGGGATTTTCGGGTTTTGTAATTTGCACTGATATATATGAATAGAAACTCCTTTTCTTGACCAGTATTGGCTATGTTTCTCTTTTTTTATTTACACCCCTATTCTACAACGCTTTCGTATTAGGATTTTTCTACGAATCGTAGAAATGGTATTCTGCAATCCGAATCGAATTTCGAAATTCGTAACAATGGCGTGCCTAAAAACGAATGAGTGAGAAATTTACAGCTTTTTTGCGTAATTTTGTTCGAAAACAATTCAGAGTCGGAGGCGAGATAAAAGATGTAAATCGATGTGCGTTTGCATGAAATATTAGCGGTGTCTTCTTTTTAACAGATAAATTTACCTTTCGCATATACATACATATATATACTTTTATTCACTGCTTTATATGAACGAACAAAAAATAATGTTTGTTGCCCCTTATCGAGAAACTTGGGTCCGATTTAGTTATTTGCACAATGATTTTGGGTAGTTGTATTAAAACGCATCAAACTTTAACATACACGTATAGTCAAATGATTAAACTTTAATTTAAAATATAGGCTTCAAATTTGCGAGCTCTAGTTTATTAATAAATTAGGTTTGAACTATGTACTTTTTTTTTGTAAATTTCCATGTGGGCTGTGCGCAAAGATACAGTGGATGGCGTAGCCGGAGTTATATGCACAATAAATGTTGTATACCTTTCGCAGTAGAAGAGGAGCCTCCACCCTCTTCGCCGGCAACACAGAAAAGAGAATTCTCATTAGTAAGGCTTATAATCCCTAAGCGCGGCCGAAGGCAGTTGCAAGCGCAACCAAATTGAAAAGGCTTTACAGGCGCAACTTACTGGAATTTTGAGCTGAAAATTTTGGCAATTATTTCTTTAATTAAGGTGTCGCTACCTCTGAAAAGGATACGGCAGAAATCACGCTGGTATAGCCTATGAGTTTTTTGAATGATCATTATTCTTAAGTGAAACAAATAAAACTCAATAATAATTATTATTGCTTTTGAAAAAATTATATGTCCTTCTAACTAAAACTTTCCTACTCCTCCTTGTCAATCCAAAAAATTTTAATTTTTTTGAATTCTAAAGGAATTTAAATAATCTTGCATTTGGTACCCATATTTTTATTCTACATTGCATTGAATCTTTTAAATAACTTTTGGAATTAATCATATCCTTGAAATAACAAAGTGCTTTAAAATAAATCCTGACGTCAAAGAGAACAAATAAAACGCCACTTTAAGTAAAAAAGTAGGATTATCATTTATTTTATGGTAGGAGAGCTTCTCAAGGAATATAGAAACAACTTTTTCGATTTAAGCTGTTGAAAAGAGGTGAATATCTAAAACTCGGGACAAATCTGGGGATCCCGGGATTGTGATAACGACATCCCGGGATCGGAAAAAGCGAAAAAATTAACATCCCTAACTCACACATAATTCAGGAATGCTCTTTGTTAATTAATGCGAGGTCAAGTCAAAGCAATACATTTTCTCAATTTCTGTTCCAATAACAGTAATTGTTGAGTAGTAATAGTTGCAACATCATTATGCGTCCAGTAAAATTTTCCGAATCTTCTTTAGTGGTCGCTGCCACGCCCTACTTGCGAGCATTTTCGTTTTGTACTGTGGTTATGCCGCCATATTTTACTTTACGTTCATCTCCTACCTACCGGTCATGGTTATTACATCTACTTCGTACATTTTTTATACTATACATTCTAGTACAATTTGTTATAAGCTTTTGGATAGCACAGGTAAATAATGAGGCAATTAGAAATTACGTGGACAAGCACTCCACGGATAGTATTACTAAAGTTCTTAGTACTGGAATCACCATTGCACAAGTAACAGTGCAGGCTGCAATATGCATTCAAACTCTGACCGGATGTCAACTTTTACGCAACATATTCATTAGTATTGTGCACTTGGAGTGGGATGTCCGACAACACTACACGGATGACTGGCCATTAAGTGCTTTACGTAGGCGCCTGTGTTTGCGTTCAGGATTATGGCTACTAGTTGTCTGCACAATTGTTCCGTATCTATCTTATCAACTCACAAATACTACAATATCTCCGATTGAACGAGTAATCACTGTCTATTTCGGAACGTTGGTACAGGTTAAAAGTGTTGAGTATTGTGTCAATGTGCAATTGGTACAGGAGCTGTTGCGTTTAGTGCAGCGGCAGTTGCTCCATTTGAGGCGTGAACTGGTGCGCTGTGAAGAAATGGAATCTCGTTGGACCTTATACGCCGATCTGCACACGAACCAACAGCTTTTAGCGCGTGTTTGGAATTTGCTGAATAAAGTCGAACGATATTTTTGCATTCCAATGCTAATGCTCTTTTTCTATAATGGATTCTCTATAACACAGGCCATACATTGGGCTTACATCAATTTCGAGCAAGATGATTTAAACACACGTTTGTGTAAGTTTCATTGCGTATGTAAAAATGTATTGCTAACAAGAACTCTTCAGTTTCAACAGTTACATAACACTGTAGGGAGGCTAAAATGATACGAAAAAACGCCGAGACCCGTAAACTTAATTTTGGGTCGTAGATTACGGACCTGTATAACATATTTCTAGACCAGGTCACAAGATATTTTCAATTTAAGTTTGCATTATGACTGAAAAAATGCACACTTTTAAGATGGAAAATGTTACCCATACGCCATGTACGAGTAGGTATGTACGAGTAGGGCTGTGTACGATATGGCGTATGAGTGACATTATTTCTTGCTCCTATTTCATAAAAAAAAAAATTATTGTACATTTTCATTTAACTATTCAAAACTTCTTTATTTAGCCAACGATTTTTTCCTTGTTAAGGTTTGAATTTTTTTGTCATAAAAAATTAACATATATTGCGAAAATGACCTGATCTGGAAAAACGGTGTACGACCCAATATTAAGTTTACGTGTTTCGGCGTTTTTTTTTGTGTATTTTCGAAACATGAGATTTTGCCCACAGTGTAATTAAAAATAATTTAGTAGCAGTTCCTTTTGCGCATCTAATAATTACACAGTGCAACACAAAAAAAGTGATAGGAATGAGACCAATTGCATTCATTAAAAGAGGTAAAAATTTGAATAAATACCAAAGCATTTGGAAAAGTTGGTTCCAATTTGTTTTTATGTCGATTTGAAGTTGTGAATTTAAAAATTAAAAAATTAACAAGTGCAATGCACAAATTTCATACCTACAGACCAGAGCTGTTAAATTTCCATTACGATTAGCAACCATTAATTTGTTTGCATTTTTTAATTTTAGTGTTTTTTAATGTTCTTACATAACCCAGCAATTAATAATTAAATATGATTAAAAATAATCATTATTAATTGACATTAAAAGAATATTAAAATAATTAAAAATAATCAAATAACTAGAAATCAAATTATTTGTTTAGTTATTCTATTATTTTTAATTGTTTGATTATTTTTGGTTATTTGTTTGTTTTTCATTATTTGATTATCTTCAATTATGGGATTATTTCTAATTATATGAAGCCGTGTTTGGCAGGCAAATTTTTATAAATTATGTAGTATTAAATAACTGAAACTAAATTCACTGTACGAGACATTGTAAATTATCCTGATTAATACTTTCAGAAAGAATTTTGTAGGGGGAATATTGGAGCAGATCATACATTTAGAAATAGGTATTTATATTATTTGCAAACTATTATTCTCAAATTGAAATAAATCATGAAATTGAAAAAAAAATTGAAGATAATCAAATAATATTATAGTAATATATTTAAAAAAATCAAAATTATTTGAAAATAATCAAATTAGTATATTGCGATTATTATGCTATTTAAAAAAACCAAAAATAATCAAATAATTAGGTATATTAATCATGAAAATAATCAAAAATAACAAAAGAATCATGTAATTAAAATTAATTAAATAATTAATTAATTGTTTTGAAAGTAGTAAATTATTAATCATTAAAAGGTGCAAATAACGGTATTCATTAAACAGTTACTCAAAAAAAAAAAACATGCTTTCATTAAAATTTATGATTATTAACCATTATTTAACAGGTCTGCTACATATAGACATGTATAAATATGTGCACATTAGGGTGCTTTTTTGCGACTATTTTTTTCACTCCTATCTCGAAATTTTTGTGGAAAACACCTAAAAAACTCCCTGAAAATTTGAACCCTTATGATGATCGTTTATGATTAAGTTTTCTAACGTTTTCAGTTTTACACTTTTGAATGTAAGTAATCAAATATTCTATCCGCTGTTCGTCCAACTTGCAAGTGCTCTCTCTCAGAGTACAACAAGTTATTTGAAGTGATAACGGTTGTTTATATATCCGTCCACAATATGCATTGCGTAATTCACACAAATAATTGATAAAAACACCGCTAAGCTAACCCAATTTAAAATTGTAATGCACATTGTAGGCAGTCTGCCCTCGAAGTGTTGAAGGAGTATTCGATTACGTAATGTGCATTTGCGCCGCTGGGAACTGACATATTGAGCATTGCATGCATTCAAAGTAAAAGTGACAGCACTAATATTGATTTTTGTTGAAAAATATACACTCTTTTTACATTTATTAAAAAATGGGTTAAGGGTAGAATGATATAAAACTATTCTCACCCAAAGAGGTTCCTCTCTTGACCACGAAAAGTGATTAAAGCTTTCACAAGATTATCTTAATTGGCTATTAAAGAGTCGATAAAAGCATTCTGCGTACGAACGAAAGCAAACTTTTCTTGTATGGTAGTGAAATCCCTAAAGCGATTTATAGCAATCATCCATGACGCCTAAGACGTCTTGTGAATTCATTAGTTAATGCAACTAGACTCAGTGCAAGTCAATTTTTATACGAGGTTACGATGTCATTTGATACTGGAAAGTGTTCTAGGCCAAATACTACACTCCACGATGAGGTTGTTCACATTTGCCTGGTTTGTCAGGTTATCTGGTTAAAAACCATTATTTATTGTTGTAAACTGAATAAAAATTATAAACACACAACCACCTAACTTGATAACCAGCCAAGCGTGAACAACCACAATGTAAATATAACGAAATCATGTGTTGAGAAAAAGATATTTAGTTGACGTAACTTAACACTTTTCTTAGTGGTCCTCTGGTGCTTAAATGATTAGTCATGTATCTGACCGCTTTTGTTAATTGCTTTAATTTATCAGTTAAAGGTAGACAGTATTTTCTTTCGTTTATCACAAAGATTTGCATACGTGTTTCTGTACAGGTGAAAGACCATGTAAGATAAGCACCAAGGCTAGGTGATTCTAAAAATCAAGTTAATTTTTTATGGACAAGTTTTCAAGATATTTGCAATTTACCGTTATTCAACTGAAAAAATTGGTTCCATTTAATCACGTATAGCTGCGAGTAAAATCATAACCACAAAATTCACCACGATGTTGTTGGCAACTTATGTTTATTTATTTATTTATAATAATTTTCATTTACAATATAGTTCGACCTATAACAGAACCACATCAATAAAAATGGTTTCGAAGCTTGCACAAAGTTCACAAAAACTAATCAAACTTCAAAAATGTATCCTCAAAATTTCGAGGTTTTTAATTGATTGGTGTTGCGTATCTCTCACAAAGAGAGAAATATAACAACAACCATATGGAACAAAAAGTTTAGATCGTTGAATCCGCCTTAAAGTGCAAGACTCAAGTCGCTAAAAATTAACCTTGCTTTTTTAGATTTTTCTTTTGTGGGCGTATTTGCGTATTTTATTTCATATAAAAATTAATGTTGTTCAAGCGTTATATTCAAGAAAATCCTCAACACCCTTGACAAAAAAATCTAAAAAATATCGTACGAACCAGTTGGATAATGTTCATACGAAATATAACAAATGAAAGGTAAAAGAATTCCCCATAGAAATTTATTAATCATCCCAGATTTTTTTTTTATGAAAAAATTAAAACTTTGACAGTAAAAGAAAAATGATAGGTGGCGTAGAGTCGCGATATTTGGAAAATCTGTATTTATGGTCGGATTATTTTCATATTTAATGGACAGAAATAGGGCGTGTTCAAAAATGCATCAAGCAAAAGCGGCAGTCTCTTTTATTTCTAAACTATAATTGATGGAAATGCCTTATTTGCGCCACTAAGTTCCAATTCGGCATTTAACCGTGATTGCGCATATTGTACATTTCCATCAATCATAATTTCTGAACGTACCCATAATACCAAAACAATTGAACCGTTAGGTGGGGCGAGGGTCGATTTTTCTTTTCTTATTAACCCCCAATTACAATTACAATTTTTTTAATTACCTGTTTTGGCCTCAGCTTAGTAAATCTGCAAAACGATCAGCAGATCTTGCACGGTCGATCATACCATAACCGTTATTTTCAGACTTAATTTTTTAGTAACACAAGGTTTTTAACCGAACATAAGAAAGCAGTCTCCATAATAAAGGTTAAAAATGATCGAATAATTGTCAAATTTTACCCAAAAATTTAAATAAAAAATAACGATTATGCATTGATCCAAAAACAAAAGTCTTTCTATTTACCCAGCAAACACACTCTCCAACGTTAGAGAAAACTTTTGAGTTTTACATTAGAATTCTAATGTAGTTCTCGAATCGATTAGAGAATCATTAGAAAAACACTCGACATTAAAAGCCAATTACAATTCAATCAGATCATCAGAATATGATTAGATATCTAGTCTTTTTCTCAATATCGAGAACTACATATGTCCCATTTTTGTAGAGAAATCTATAGTTCTCGACAGTTTCTCTAATCGTTTTCTCACCTTCTACCTTAGAGAAGCACATTCGAATTCGAATCGCTTTCTAACCGTTCTCTAACCTAAATGTTTGCTGGGTAATGGTTATTTTCGTTTCATGATATTTATAACTGAGCTAAGGCATCAGAACTGAGATACGGAATAAAATTTTTTAGAAGTGAGCATCTGCCACTTTTTGGAGCATCTGCCACACAACGTCTGAAATCTACAACATATTCGCGTTTTTGAGTCGTTTTATTTTTGCCCGACAGAATTTTCTTAATTTTAAGAGCAAAAATTGTCCAACACTAAATACTATATGGTTACAAGAATGATATAATACAAGATTCTGTATTCCCAGCGGCGATGAAATTTCTCAAAAAGTAAACAAAGCCTAATGGGAGGATAAAATAACCTGTAAAATAGTAATTTTTTATCAATAATAAATTTTTCGACAGGAAACGTGGTTTTATTGTGTCTAATTGCAAAATATATGATTTAGAAAAAGAATTAGAATTAGTAGCGAAAATGTTAAAAACACGGCGATTTTTATGAAAGTATTAGCAAATTTCAGTGCAGTTGTTTACTTTCACTTGAAAATTGTCAAAATCGGCCCATCCCTAGAAGCGGTTTCTGGAACGTGCCACATTTGTTCGCTACATTGTGATGTGATAAAATGAAAAGCTGGCAGCACTCCGCAAGGTTGCCGAAATCTTTCAAAATATGTTCGAAAAATATCTTGATATGGAAGGAACGACTCCAAAACTCAACGCATTTTCAATCTTGAACTTTATTATACTAAAATAATTTTTTTTTTTCGATTTTTGTTTATAAAAGTCATACTTCTTTGAAGTACTTGCTTACGTTTTATATCAAATATGTGTTATTGCAACTTAAAATGTTTATTTAAATTCATTTGTAACGCTAAATAATTTTATGCATTTATGCACTCTTTCAGCCCTTCTTGGGTAAGCCTCTTAGAATGGCTTTACTTAAGAAGGTCTACATAAATTATCTACTGGATATTTGATAAGAACCTTACGCAAATACACCAAAGATGTATGAGTTTTATAAATTAAAGAAGCAACTTTAAAAGAACTCCTCCAAAAAGCCTTCTGAAGTACGTCCTATAAAAGCCCTTCTGGAAGGCGTTCTATGGGCAGCGAATGAAAAAGCCCTTCAATTTGTGCCACTCCATACAAAGAGGAAATGACAAAGGACTGTATGTGTTATCTACTGGCTACTTTAATATAGAAAGGTCTTATCTAACATCGTCGCTAAAATACAAAAAGCCGTAACTAAGAATCCAAAATTCACTTTTTGATTGATGACGATGCATTTCATCGAATTATAAGTACCCACATAGTTTTATGCTTTTTTGTATTTCAGCGATTATTTCTAGAATAAATTTATGTATGTATATGTAATTATGTATAGAATTTTTTTATAAATTACTAATTTTATTTTATTGTATTTTACTCGTTTTTAATTAGGCCGTATCATTTATACCGTGATGGTAATTGTAATGCTGTTTATGCCATGCTATCAAAGCCAATGCTGTATTGATGAGGTAATGTAGAATTATAGATATAAATAATTTAATTGACTTAAATACATATATATGTATATATAAAGGTAGCGTCACATGATTGGGCATTTGCCCAAATTTTGGTGCAACTTGTATCCCAATCATGTAACTGCACAAATATTTTTCTTTATCCCAATCACGAAATAGTATATATTTTTCAAATTTTTCAAGCAGTTGGCTGTATTGTACCAATCGTGTAACTACAAAAGAAATTTTTGTACCAATTATTTTATTTTGTACCATTATACCAATATAAAAAATTTACAAATCTGTAGAAATGTATCAATCGTGTGATACTACCTTAAGAATTTACATATTACACCGTGCGACAGTAAATTTTACACCAAAAAAAATTAATATATTCGCGAAACTGCGGGTAAATTATAGTAAAACTGCGTTTTTAGTTTTTCTCTCTGACGTCTGGATTTTTTTTTAAAGGACTTTGAAATTTTAAAAATATGATTATTTCAAAAAATGATTTAAAAAATTCGGTGCAATGTAGGATAACAATATGGGTATCATATAAAAGAAAAGATTCTGTAGAATTATAACAAAATAAATTTTTTGGTGCATAAGGACGAATGGGTATGGAACATATCCTTTACAAATTTTGTACATAAATATCCTTGAAAATTTGCAATATTTTTTTTTTTTAATTTTTGTTTGAGGACTAATATATGCAAGACCTCATCATCGAATTTGGTCCTGCAAACTTTATTAACTTAAAACGATAAAATTTTTTAAAAGCGCATCATCAGTAGATAACCTATTCATACTTGTAAATCATATTGCTATTCTACATTGCAATGATTTTTTTAATAGGTTTTTGAGTTAATCACATCTTTAAAATTTCAAATTCCTTTGAAAAAAATCCTGACGTCAGAGTGAAAAACTAAAACTAAACTATATTTGGCCCATAGTTTCGTGAGCATATCGATACTTTCGTGTGTTTTGGAATTTTTTTTTTTGTCGCACGGTGTTATCAACAATTCGTTTTTCAAAATCTTGAAATACACGAGACTTTTTAGCAACCGAGAATAGTCCTATGTAAATTTAAAAAGTTGTTCGCTCCTCCTGTAAATTACAAATTTATCAAATGGGTACTTTACGACGATATTTGGCTTTGCGATAGTTGTAGTACCTCACGACGGAATAATTCCATATAAGCGGTAGTAATAAGTACCTTTCGACGTTAATCTGTACTAAATACAATGGATCCATTTACTAATTTAATATGTAAAAACAAGGATGCATATCATAATTTCATTTATAACCAAAATTGGATTTAACTATGTCCAAAAAAAAACATGTATATATGTGTGTACATAACCACGTATTTTGACGTGCTATACACGAATATAAAGTTCGTTTTTCTCTATCTCGGCAGAATTTTTTCCTAACCTGAAAAAAACGTGCCCGTCACATAATAGCTCTGATCTATGAACTTACAGGTTTTTACATAAACTTGCAGGAAGTTACAGAAAAAATGATCACGTACTGCAAATTCCTCAAAAATCCTGAAAAATGAGAGCGATTTTTGGAGAGTTGTGTAGAGTATGAAGTTGCAAGATTTTACCTGAACTTTTTCTTCTGGTAAATCATGAGCAGTGTCAAGCGATCAATGGTTGACGTTTTTACAGGAAAAATACTTTTTTTATCGTATCCCGTACTTTTTGTTGTTACCCACTTCACTTCATTTTTACAGGATTTTACCCGAAAAGTATTGGATCACAGCTAATATCCGCCAAGTTTATTGAGGTTAGGAAAAATCCTGTTGTGATGGAGCATTTTCTCTTGGCGGCCCTGGTTACGAAATAAAAAACACACATTATGCTCTATTTCTAATAAAATAAACTCTGTATAGGCCTTGACAGGTCTATTTTTCATTGGTAAACACATTTTTGTTACCTGTAATTAAAGTTTCCTTTACATACTTTTCGATTTCTGTGCGCTACATTTTCGGGCAACGGACCGCTTCATAAAGCGAGATGCGTAATAACTACCGCTATATTTCAACCTTTTTATATTCTTAAAGCTCTGTGTTTGATTCTCAACCGACAATCTACAGAAATGTTGCAGAAATTGCACAGACAAATTTTGTATATTGCATTTTATTTGTTTGTGGTGAGCAACGGATTGACAAAATGTTGCTCCTCAAACGCGCGACGCAGACAGAGTCGCCCAAATTTTCGCATAGAACGCGATACTTTTTCATAAGAAATAATACCGCCGCATTTATTGAAGCTCGAATACACCCTTGTGTTGAACCTAACAGAAAACCTGCCATGGCAAACATGAGTTACTCAAACGGATGACAGCCTTACGTAGCGGCTATAGCCAACATCCAATATCCTATTTTTGTTCCTTTATCGAGTATTTAAACTGCCTTTTTATTGAAGCCTTTAATTAATGAAATGATGTTGCACTTTCAAAACCTGCTCGATATTGAGGAGTAAATAATTGACTGACTTTTGTACAAAATTTGCTATCGCTAATTTTGATCGGCAAAAATTTCCAAAAGAATAGCAGGCACCCCTAACAGCACGCAACACCTAGCTACATTCCCCCATACTGCCAGAATTGGCTGATTACACAATGCAGGTGTTACTTTTCCATGTAGTATACTCTTACGCCTCACTGCATTTCATTTCCAGAATTTTAGCAACAACAATTTAGCGTAGCGAATGTCCGGATAATACTAATACACTAAATACAAAAAAAAAAAAATTATTTTATTCAAAATCAAAAAAAAATATCAAGTCAATGCGATTTTCTAGTAGCTGGAAATGTGCACTTTTTATCTTACTAATATTTAATGGACCATAAAACTGCAGACCCAAATTTTCTCTAAAAACTCTGAAAAAAAAGTTTGAAATTTTTGGTGGAAATATGAAAACTTCGGCAAAAGATTAAAAACTATTTTTATTCACTGCATAATATTCACTGATTTTTTTACAAACAACTACATACTTTTACGATACATTTTTGATAAAATATTTTGGAATCTTCTCAAAAAAGTACAACCATTTTGGTACAATGTTGCACAAACTGAAAACCGTGGGTATTGATGAGTCTTTAAGCATGCGTTTGCAGGAATATTCCCTTCAACTAATGCATCAGCAAATGTTATTCACATGTGGAGGATTCTTTGAAATAAACCTGAAGAATTTCGGAGCGGTAAGCATGGGTTTTAACAAATGTACAAATAACAAATGTATACTTTATTATTTGCTTAGATCATTCTAACGATTACAACTTACGTTGTTATACTAATACAATTTAAATTACAAGCGGAGACAGAAAAGAAAACAGATGGAAGAGTACGCTTCGAATAATCATAACTTAATGATAAAATTGACTACTAACTTTTGAAAATTTTCCGAAATGTTTACAAAGAGATATATGTATGTATGCTTATTAAAAATAAATTATTTATTTTGCATATAAAAGCGCAAGTTTAGTCCATTCCTATAGGAAAAATCAATCAATAAATAAAATGTGGCAATTGTTGCTAAATGGTAAGTTAAAAAAAGAATGTCATTAAGTCATAATGGTTGTTAGATTTGTAAGACTTTAAGATATTCTGCAAGGTATTCTGCAGATAAAATTGCCACGCCCATTTCGATGGGCTGGTCGCCTTAAATAAAAATCTTGGCATACAAATATTATTTATTTCTATTCTATCGGAATAAAATGTACATTATTGCAAAAACAGAATTTTTAACACCTCGCTAAATGATAGTATATCTCATCCTAAGTTTTCAAAAACAAATCACAAAAAAAAAAAATAGTTTAAAACATAGAGAATTAAACAAGGATTACGGTACGACCTTTAATCCCTAATTTGCTGGTCTTCGCTATGTAAATCCACTTCAAAAATTTCAATTGTTTATAGCTAAGACAGATCTTGGCCAATCAAGAGCATATATGCAATACTCCTATATTGACAGTAAGAGCTAGTACCATCCGAAAACACTACAGTACAGACATATCAATAACGTACGTACGAAAGAAAAGGAAGACATACGTTTATAAATAAACATGTACACAATACATATACAAAAACGGCACTCAAGTACACAATACATTGACAAAAACGGTACTAGACTGTCTCGCTTTGATTTCGGAATGCTTACACATTGAGAAGTTAGCTTACTGCCAATATAGAAGTATTACATATATATGATCATGAGCATCTTATATATGTACATACATACATATAAGAAATATTAAGCCTGTTTCTTTAGCTTTAAAACGACGTTACATATGTATGTATATGTTATGTTCGACTGTAAGAGGCTTCAAAACTCGAGAACGGCTGAACCGATTAGAATAATCATTTTTGGATGTTCCAAACTCATTGGTCTGCTATTTAGAATCTTATCTTGCTGATCTTAAAAGATTCTTTGAGGTTACTGAAATATTGAATCTGAACGCTGAAAAAGCTTAGATGTGAAGGGTATTAAAACGTACATGCAATCGGATGAATTCATCCGTTGAATTTACTGAAAAAAATAAATAACATAATGAAATTCTAAGGCTCAGTTCAAGCAAAAAATCTTCTATGATCTGTTGGACTGCCTTAATAGAGACATGACGAGACGATTTGATGCTTTCAAGAAACTTGAATTACCTTTTTTTTAATATCTTGCGGTAAGTGGCGATGCCCTGAAAAAGCAAGCAATATCCTTTTGAAAAGCTATCGATTTGATCGAATAAGTAATGTAAAGAACATTCACGAAGCAAATTTACGGAACCAACATTTGCCTCCTTTCCAACTCGTCAACAAATTACACGAATTGAATATAGATGCAATATTTATTTATTCCAAGGACTGTTTGCGAAAATGAACGTTTATTCAGTTCAATATCTCCTATTAAGAATTCGGAACTTTAGCATTAGAGAAATTTTAAAATTGTATTAACAAAAACTGAAACAGCCCCTTTAGTTACCGATTAAAAAATTATGTTACCAGTGCAGAATACCAGTGCATACCAATTAAATTATCTCTGTTCTAATGTTTGCGTAGTTGGTGAAATTTCGTCTAAGCCCAAATAATTAATAGCTAATAAATAAACCCCCATAAAGACTCGGTGGACTTACTAAAAAAAGTTTTTAATTCAAACGAGCCGCCGATGATATTTTGCCTTGGGTTTATATGGGTTTTGTTAGAGAATGAACTATATTTTAATTGAAAATTCTTAAAAATTAATAATTAAACATAAGTGGCAAGCAATATCACTTTTAAATGGGGTGCTATAGATATGGCCAATACTGTATATGCTAAAATTGTGTATGAAAAGAAATAAATATAGTATTTATATATAATTTGCTCAGTTTTTATCCAAAATCTAGAAAGCTACAAATAGTGTTGTATGGGCGGTCAAGTGTCATAACCAGGGAACGGATTTTATGAAAATTGCTTTTTTTCTGCTGAAGAGATAGAGTATATTCTATTAAGAATGTCCACGATTTAGTTTTCCCTGATTTCATATATGCATTTTTTTGCCTTTTTTAAGATATTTGTCATTTTTGGCCTTTGGTACCTTTACACATTTGAAAAAGTGATTATAGCCAGGAAAAAGCCCTTAATCCTGATAATGTAAAAGTTTCAAACGTTCCATATTTGAATTGGACGCCACTTATATTAACTCACGTCGAGCGCTCGTTTAGTACAAGCCTGTTTTGTTACAAAAAAATCAAGTTGATAATGAAGAAAATCGAAGAATAAATAAAGAAGTAATAAATGATCATATGAAAATGCGCAAAGATTTTTTGTATGAAAAATGAGCTGGAATAAATGTTGTATGGTATGGTGTGGAGGCGTCGATATATGTACATACATAAAAATAAATAAAAGTATGTGAGTGGCTAAATAAAAACGCAATTAACTAATGAAATTAAAAGCCGATTTAGATATTTAAAGAAATAAATTACACTACTGCGAACAATCGCACATACGTCCATATACATATCGTCGTTTAAAGTACAAAATCGCGTATCGTGATTCTGCAAAACCGCGTAACTGAAATTGGCTGCCAAAAATTGGATTTGCTCACACAAGCTCTTGGCTCAATCCATTATCCATTCATCCTGAAATATTCTAGGCAAATATGCGATTACTTTATAAAAAAAAGATAACCATTTTGAAATATGAGTGTTTTTACGCTCTAGAAAATAGAGAGAAAACCTCACATACGCGGTTTTGCATTTTTCTGATACGCGGTTTTGCATTTTAGTGATACGCGGTTTTGCACTTTAAACGACGATATGTAGATATACCCAGCCAGCAAAGAAACGTAAATTTTGCCGACAGTGCAGTTTAGTTAGTAGAATAGAAAAAACTCCTTCGAAACGTTCGAAAAAAGATCATGTCATTTGAAAGCAATAATTGTATTTTATTTGCTCAAGCTAAACATTTGAAAGCATGCATGCAGAGAAGTGTGCCGCTTTTGTTAGCTTCCAAAAGGTGCCGAATTCCGTCAGGCGCTTCCTAATTTCATTTTATTTCTTTTGAACCATGAAAAAGTATCTGTGAAGTGCAAAAGGAAAGCGTATTGAACGAAAAATTCAATCAGAAAATTTTCAGAAAAAAAAGCCGAAAACATATCCATTTCACACACTGTTGTCTGTACATATGCTCCTGTCGCACACTTTAGTGGGAAAACGGATCGTCAAAGTATCCGGAAATGGAATTAGTAAACGGACAAAAATCCGCACTTCAACCACATTTTTGTCCTTTTTCGGATCGGTTTTCGGTTTTTTTTTTTTCTGGCTGGGTACTTATGTGTATATGTACATATGTACATAAGTATGTGAGTAAAAGTTCATATGCATGCAGTTAAAACAGTATCCAGGCTAGTTAATGAACTCAGTTACTGAGTAAAAGTCAAGTTGAGCTGTTTTACACTCCACATATTACATATACCTATGTACATACATATGTACATGCATACATATGTATATATATGGGTAAATTTAAAAAAACAATCTTCGGCGTATCGCTGCAACCATTTCGGCGTCTAATGATGGTATTGGTAATTGTACCTTATTTGTACGGTCCTATTGGGAAACAAGATGCGTTTTGTATAAAATACACACAACTTGTTATACATTTTATTGCTGTAGCTGCTCTTAGTGCCTACCTTGTGTATGCACATTTGAAACGCATCAAGGAAACCATTTACAATCTTGATGACATCTTTTCATCGATAATGGATGGCCTTGGCTTTACCACATTAATAATAGCTCAATTAATCATACATTTGGAGAGCTCTTGCAAGCTGCATGCCTATCAGAAAATCTTCAATAAATTTGAACAAATGCGAACATGGTTAATGCAAAAATTTGCAATACAATTCGAAATTACCAAACTTAAATTCTATGCTACTCTATTGCAAATCCATTTTACACTCTATTGTGGATTGATATTTTTCTTTATGACTTGGTTGATTTTTGAGCCAGTGCCCACGATGCGTTTACTTCTTTGCTTATACGCAGAAATTGTGTTGAAAGTTAAATTGTTTGAATACATGCTTTTTGTCATTGTATTCTTGGTGATGCTTTCCGAGCTGTGCAGAGCAGCAAATCGTCAATGCCAGCTGGTGGAGTCGACTCGGTTCGATAGTAGTGTTCAACGCCAAGAATGCTTGATGGGCTTTATAGCACTACAAGACTTACATGCTCTGCTTTGGGAAAATGTTCAACTGCTAACGGCCTACTTTGAGTGGAGTTTGCCAAGCTTATTTACGAAGCAACTTATTGATCTGACACTTTTAGCATATTGGGCCTTTTTGAACATCGAAATTGGAAAGTCGGAGGTAATTAAATACTGTAAGTATGCTTAATTAAAAACTCAATTAAATTTGTATGTTTAACAACTGGTTTTTGAAGATCTAATCGCCTTTTGGATAATGCAAATATTTACCTTGATGGTGGCATGTTTTATTTGCTCTACATGTGAACGATCGGTAAGTTACATACACATCGACCCCTAACCGCCAAAAAGATATAAGCGACATTTTTCCGAAATTTTATTTTTGATGCAGAAATACTCGCAGAGCATCGAAATGCATTTCAGCATCAAAAAAAATAATTTTTTTTAAATTTCGCTTACCTAGGACCACAGGACAAAAATGCAACTTTTATAATAAGCAATATATTTTTAGGAAAGGAAATTTCGCTCTAGTTTCAGAACTATTTTTAAAGACCGCCAAAACCCACTCCTTATGAAATGTGTACATAGCATTTCAATGCAGCTATGGCAGGAGCCAATAACATTTGTGGCTGGACATTTTCTTACCATCAATATTCGGACATTGGGAAAAGTAAGTCA